CTGTTGGAACATTTATGGTTATTTATTTATCACAATTTATAGACAGTTGTCATCAGATTGACTCCCAATAATTTACAAATAATTCAAAACCCAACATGTAATTAAGAATAAACCATAGTCAATAATTATATAATAATAACATTAGAGCCAGCATGGTGTAGTGGTTAAGCTATCAGATTAGAAATAGGGTGACCGTGAGTTCTAATCCTGCCTTAGGCACCAAGCCAGCTGAGTGACCTTGGGCCAGTCACTCTCTCTCGGCCCCAGGAAGGAGGCAATGGCAAACCACTTCCGTAAAACCTTGCCAAGAAAACTGCAGGGACTAGTCCAGGCAGTCACCAGGAGTCAAAAACTGACTTGAAGGCACAATAAATAAATAAATAAATAACATTGCAAATTGCTAAATACAGCTATGATGCCATCCTGGCTTGACAGCAGCAACAATTGGTGTGTATCGATGTGTGGTTTTTGGATTAGTTTGGATTTCCAACTACCATTCCTCCTTGGTTAGCCCTCAGTTCTTTGGCTTTTTTGTAAAGTCATCTTCCCGCCAGTGCATTTTGCTGTGTTTATCTCTTGGTGTCATGTCCTGCAAGGCTGGCAAACCCAAGTAACCAGAAGTAGGATCTTCATTGCTAGGTGGGTAATGAATCTTGAAAGCCTATCAAAGCAATTCTCTGGCTCGACTTATATCTAGCGTAATTGAGGGGGAGTTGCTCTTTCTCATGCTTCTCTCCTTCCTTGGGCTGAGATGTCCTGTTCAAAAGTCCTGTTTCCTCCTCCGCTTTTGCAGAATCTTTTAGACATTCCATCATATTTAGAATGCAGAGCTGTATGTCCTCAGTCGGTGGATGTTCCAGCAAAATGGAAATTTCTTCCTTTGGATATTTGTCAAAGCTTAGTCTGCATTTTACCGAGAAATAACAAAAGACATTACAGGTAGTCCTTGACTTATGACCACAGTTGGGACCGGAACTTCTGTTGCTAAGCAATGCGGTTGTTAAGTGAGTCGCACCCAATTTTACAACATTTTTGCCATGGTCATTAAGCAAACCACAGCGGTCATTAAGCGAATTCTGACTTTGCTTGACAGAAACCCCCTGGGAAGGCCTCAAATGGCGATCACATGAGTCCGGGATGCTGCAACTGTCATAAATACATGCCGATTGCCAAGCGCCTGAATTTTGTTCATGACCATGGGGATACTGCAGTGGTCGTAAGTGTGAGAACCAGTCAGAAGTCACTTTTTTCAGCGCCATCGTAACTTTGAACGGTGGTTAAATGAATAGTCATAAGTCAAGGATTATCAGTACTTGTTGCACTGGGGATCATAGGAAAGAGGGGGAAACAAGGCCTTTGCTAATCGTTTAGATGTGCATTTCTAACAACATGTCTAGAGTGGCCTTGAGAGAAGCAACAGAGGGGGGTTTCTGTTTGTTTCTAGTCTTCTGCAGTCTTGTATCTTCCTAATCTGCTGGATCTGCAACTCCCATAATCCCCAGTTGGGAATTAAGGGCTGCTATTGCTCCCACATCCTAAAATAGCATCAGTTTTGAGAAAGGTCATTTGTACCATTTGCATGTCAGCATCAAAGGTTGTGAAAAGGGGCTCTGCAGGTAGAATAGTGTACCAATAACTTTGTTGGGATTCAGGGTACAAATCTTTAAAATGTACACATGTAACCTCAAGCAAATGATCCCCAATACTTGTTTTTTTTTTTAAAGAATGTCCTATACTGAAGCGATTGAAGTTTTAGAGCGAGCTCGTCAAGAATTCACTTACAAACCAGCAGTGAGTATTTGGGAGATTTTGTGGGGGTTTTGGTAAAACTCAGGTATTTAGAAGGTTGATAGAAAAGTATGAGAGTTGGCTGTATCTGAAACAGTCCGGAAGCCAGTCTGCCCCTTCTTCACAAAAGGGACAAGCCCCCTCCCTTTTACATGGTGAGAAAAAGAACAAGATTTCTGTCCATTGCCTATATATAGGTTTCTCATTTGAAAATGGAGGACTTGCTGGAATCCTTTAACTTCCTTCTTAATAAAACTTACTAACCAGAGCTTTGAGGGGTTTGTTCTTGGGATCAGCCACTTCCAGTCCAGGCTGCTACCAGAAGCCTAACAAAAGGAGATTTCTGCTAGCCCTTCGAGGTAGTCCAGACAAGAAGCACAATAGTGAATCTTAGCTTTATCTTTATTATAAGGTTACAGGAACAGAATCTTGCAAGTCTGAAAGTATTCCTCCCCTCCTTTCCTTTTACTCTCCGGAAAACTAGGGAGGGTCCCCTCTGAAATGTTTCCCACGCCCTCCCTCCTTCTGTGGGCTGAGATGACTTTTGCATGTCAGTTGTCCGTTCTGCGGCTCTTCCTCCCGTCTCCCAAAGTCATCCCCGTGGATCATTATAATTCCCAAGCGTGTCGGTCTAGACCACTGCAACATCAGCCGAGATTTCTCAGTCTGATTTCAAGGTATCTGCAAGTGGTGAATCTAGTCAGTCTCATTTGGGCTCATAAACTAAGAAGGATCATGTTTGATTAGGACTTGGGCAGGAGGCTATCAGGAGATCCCAGGACTTTAAACTTAAATAGCCAAGAAGAAGGGAATGGCAAACACTTTCTACCATAACCAAGAAAACTGCAGGGTTGTGTCCACATTGTTAGCAGGACACAAGCTCAGCTCAAGGATGGATGGATGGATGGATGGATGGATGGATGGATGGATGGATGGATGGATGGATGGATGGATGGATTTTGATTGACTGACTGATTGGTTGATTGATTGATTATGTA